TTTTCTTGTTTAACAAGCATCAAAAGCAAAGACAGAAATCATCTTATTTCAGTTGAAAAAATCTCTGTGTGCTTATCTCGAGTTTGGCCCAGGATTGATTATTTGTGGAGCAAAACACAAGCACAGGTTTCACATTAAAGAAGTAGGTTTCATTCTTTATTTTTAGTTTAAGAACACTGTTAATGCACATATATAAGCCTATACAAGAAACAAATAACTTCTGGCCTATATTTGAGCCTGCATGTACAGGGGTTCCGTGAGGCTTGAAATATATTTCAAGGGTTCCTTGAGGGTCAAAAGGCTGAGAAAGGCTTGTTTAGAAGAAATCCAATAGTAAAGATCTACAAATTGAAAATATTCCATATGGACAACTCCCCCCATCTTGATAGAAGAAGGGCCACACAAAACAGAAAAAAATTGCCAGCCTGTTCCATGCAGCCTCAATGGAGATATCTTCCCTGCTTCTGTTGGAAAACTTTAGAATTCAAATTTTAAAATTTGCATTAGTTTGATGTGCTGTCTTACTTTAATGTTAGCACTTAAAAGCATTTTTGTAGCTAAAATTATAACTTCTTAAAAGTGCAAAGCAAAGGATGCAATAGGATGTGGTTTGTCCTCTCTGCTGTTTAAAATGGGGCAATCGCAGGTGGATGAAAGTCTGCTGAGCTGCAAAAGAAAGTAAGTCAGGAAACAGGTGATGAAGACTGCAAGTCAGGAGGATAAAATTAACTATAGTTTTGAAAAATGCCTTTGTTGCCTGGGGTGAACGTATAAGCTGACCATAAGCAAGGGCTACCATAGGAACATTCTGGAATAAAGTAAGGGAAAATGCAGACAAAGTAAAACAAAACAAAACAATAGTTATAAAAGCCAAAAACTGAAAAGTGAGATTGGAACCCTAGACACCAGAGAATAAAGAATAGTGTTTCTAGCAAAAGTCTGAAAATGGTGGCAGTGCATTTGGATGCTCGATGGTGCTCTGAGAGATTTGTAGAAGGATTTTTCAGAAGAACTTTGGATGTTGAGGTTGGTTTGTGGATATGGAGGATTGTGGAGGACTGTATTAATAGGAAGCTTAGAATAAGGGGCGGGAATGAAGAATGAGAGGCTGGACAATTGGCAGAGAATTAGAAGAGCGGAGAGATTGGAGAGGGGTGGGTGAGAGTGAAGACAGAGAAGGGGGCTGAATTTTATGGATGTTTGGGATCTCTTGGATTCCCTCTGGACTCCCCTGGACCCAGTAGACTACCTTTACTGTGTGGTGAATGGCTAGACCAGAGCCCAAGTTTGAGACCCTGAGAATCAGCTGTTGCAGCTACTGCAACTTCAGAAGATGGTGCAGACTGCATGATGGCAGTGGAGCTGACAACCCCCCCCCCCCGGCTTCACTGGCAGCCAGACCTACTCACACACGTTGGCATTGGAGAGTATGGTAGGCTACTGGCTAGATTTTTGGCCAATTGACTGGTTTTGGGGAGCTTCGGACTCTTACTGGCATTTGAGAGCTTTGGACTCTTGGAGGCATTTGACCGCTTGGCAGCTGCAACAGCACTTGGGGCACTTGGGACACCGTGGGACAAGCATTTTTTGGACTGCTTGTCTGATTTTTTTAGATCAATCCTTGTATGGGCTTATGATCTTGCCCTGGGAGGTCGTTCAGGAGATCCTGGGGTTGTGGGGGTGGGTGCTTGGTGAGAGTCAGGTGAATGTGGTTGTCCCTTCTCCCCTAGGTGAGGGCCAGGGGAGGGGGAGTGGCTCCCTGCTGGGTGGGTGAGACCAACCAGGTAGGGTTGTGCTTGTGAGTTGGAGTGGAGTCAAGGTGAGTATGAAAGGGGAGAAGGGGGTGTTGATGTGACCTTCTCTGGTGTTGAGGTAAGTGGAGGGGTGGTGGCTTGATGGTGCTGAGAGCAACTGCTATAGCACCTGTTGGGCTCACCTTATCCCTGTTTGTATGTTGGTTAGTGGGATTCCCCTTTTAGATCAAGAGGTCTGAGGATGGTGCATGGAATGGCTGGTAGGGCAAACAGGGTAGGGCAATGTATTTTGGTGTTGTCAGATAAAGGGAAATATGGCAGGAGACAAGGGGCAGGCTACTCACGGGGAATGCGACCTCGATGCCTTATACCGATCTTGTGCTCCACTCTCTTGAACTCAACCCATTTACCTGGTCAGCAGATGTGTGGAGGCCTGGGTTTTAGGCTGGTGTTCTTAAATGCCAGATCACCCTGGAATAAGGCTTCCCTTATCGCTGATTTGATTCTTGCGGAAAAGGATGATCTGGCTTGTATTACTGAGACCTGGCTGGGACCAAAGGGTGGGGGTTCTTCTCTTGGAAATGTGCCCAGCTGGTTATTAAGTATGGCATCAACCTTGACTACAGGGCCGGGGAGGGGGTGTGGCTGTGGTCATCAGAGAATCCCTGGTGGCCTCTAGGGGCATTACTCCACAAGTGCCTGGTTGTGAGACCCTTTTTCATAGGTTGGGCTCAAGGGACCAGATGGGATAGCTGCTGCTGTACCAGCCTCCCTGCTGCATAGTGGCTTCCCTACCCGAGCTCCTGGACCTCACTACAGGGCTGGTGGTGGAGTTCCCCGAACTTATAGTTTTGGGGGACTTCAATCTGCCATCCCTGAGGGTGGGGTCAGAGGTAGCTCGGGAGTTCATGGAAACCACAACTTCCATGGGCCTGTCCCAGGTTATCCAGGGCCTGACTAGAATTAGTGATCACACACTTGATTTGGTGTTCTTGTTGAAGTGGTGCTTACATAATCTGAAATTGGAGGACCTATCTTTGGTCCCCTTGTCATGGTCAGATCATGTCTTGGCGGCTATGAGCTTCTCTAAGGCCATACCCCTCTGCAGGGAGGCAGAACATTTGATTGGTCCATCCTGGTGACGGACCCAGATGGATTTCAAAAGGAGCTGGGGGCTATTACTGAAGATCTGCTGCATAGTCCTGCTGAGTGCCTAGCCGCCACTTGGAATAGGAAGGTGACAGGGGCTTTGGACAGGATTGTGCCCATGTGACTTCTTCTGACCCATGGACTTCATTGCCCCCTGTGGTATACAGAGGAATTGAGAGGGATGAAATGGTGGAAGACAAAGAATGAATTTAACCAAACACAGGTAAGATCTGCTATTAAAGCCTACCTCATGGTGATTCAGGCGGCAAAGCGTAAATACTTCTCTGCACTAATTGTGTCTGCAGATAACTGCCCAGTGACCCTCTTTAAGGTGACCATTTTCCTTCTGGGGAACGAGGATAGAGAAGTCTATCTGCAGGGGCCTGCTAAGGCATTTGTTGATTTTCTGGAAGACAAAGTTGCTCAGATTCGTTCCCAGTTAGACTCTGGCATGGCAGTTGGTCTAGTGGAGGTGCGTGGGGCAGGCTCTTGCCTGGTTATCTGGGAATGGTTTGATCCTGTTGCTCTTGAGGAAGTGGACAAGTTCCTAGGGAGTGTGAGCACAACCACCTGTGTTTTAGACCCATGCCCCTCCTGGCTGGTGAAAGCCTCCCAGAATGTGACATGTGGGTGGGTTCTGGTGGTAATTAACGCTTCTCTGGAGGAGAGGGTGGTGCCCCAACCTTTTAAGGAAGCTGTGGTCCATCCTCTTCTTAACAGGCCATCACTAGATTCCATCTTGTTGGATAATTTTCGTCCTGCCTCCAATCTTCCCTTTTTGTGGAAGGTTGCTGAAAAGGTGGTTGCGCTGCAGCCCCAGAGGTTCTTGGATTAAACCAATTATCTGGGTCTTTTCAGTCAGGGTTCAGGCACGGATATGGGATGGAAACGGCATTGGTCATGCTTTTTGATGACATCTGGCAGGAGCAAGATGGGGGCAGTGCATCCATTCTTGCTCTACTTGACCTCTCAGCAGCCTTCGATACCATTGACCATGGTATCCTTCTGGAGCAGTTTTGGGGATTGGGAGTGGGTGGCACTGTGTTGTCCTTGTTCACTTCCTTCCTCTGTAGATGTTCCCAGTTGGCATTGATAGGGAGTGAGATGTCCGGCACTCAGCCCCTGCTTTGTGGGGTTTTGCAGGGTTCAGTACTTTCTCCGCTTCTGTTTAACATGAAGCTGCTGGGTGAGATCATCTGTCACCATGGGGTGAGATATGAGTATGCTGATGATACTCAGACATATATCTCAGCCCACGGTGAGTTAAACAATGCCATGACCTCTCTCACACAGTGCCTGGAAGTTGTTAAGGACTGGATGGGGAGCAATGGGTTGAAACTGAACCCTGGGAAGACAGAATGACTCTGGGTTTGGGGTTCTTTGGTCCATGGAGAATTGCCATCTTTGGTCTTGGATGGGGTTGCACTGCCCCAGATAGACCTGGTGCATAATCTGGGGATTGTCCTGGACTCACAACTCCTGCTCAAGGAGCAGGTGGCAGCCATGGCCAGGAGGGCCTTTGCACAACTGCAGGTTGTGTGTCAGTTACGCCCTTTCCTAGATCAACAGACCTTGCTCACAGTCACCCATGCCCTAGTCACTTCCTGTCTTGACCATTGTAATGCATTCTACAGGGGATGCCCTCGAAAAGTATCTGGAAGCTTCAGCTGGTTCAGAACACAGTGGCCTGCAGAGTTTTGTGCAAGTCTAGATTTGCACATGCTACCTCTCTTGCGGGAGCTGCATTGGCTGATTTGCTTCTGGGTCCAATTCAAGGTGCTGGTTATCACCTTTAAAGCTCTACATGGCTTGGGACCAGGTTATTTGAAGAACCACCTTTTCCCAGTTTCATCTGCCTCACTCACCACATTGGGGAGTCAGGGTAGGTTAAAGGTCCCTATTAAGAAGGTCCATCTAGTGGAACCAAGAACGGCCTTGTCTGTGGTGGCTCCTTCCCTGTAGAATAACATTCCCGCAGAGGTAAGACTGGCCCCCACCTTGATGCTCTTCCGCAAGGCCCTGAAGACATGGTTTTGCCAGAGGGACTGGGAATCCCAGGTTGATATGGAGCACATCAAATGGCTAGTGTAAATGTGTTGTTGTTGCCAGGAGGGTAAGGGGTGTAATGGGTTCTGTATTTGGGATTTTTATTCCTGTAAACTGCCTGAAGTCACCGTGAGTTGGGCAGCCATATAAATTGCTTAAATAAATAAGTCCAGAGGATATTCCATCGTTATTATACTCCAGATGCATGTGCAGACTCTATCACTGCACCCTAGCTTCCTTACCTCCCACTCCTGCATCAACAACTCATTTTGTCAGGATTCTAGTTAGGACTAGCCCCCTTAACTGGAACTTGTATCTTGCAAATCTGCTTGTAATCTTGAAAGATAAAACTCTTTCTTTACAAAGCTTCATATGTTCTTTGACAGTAACATAATTTATTATCAGTGTAACTTACCTGTTTAATACCTAGTAAAGAAGACTGAATTTAATTTGTCTCTTAACTTTTGGTGGATGTTTTGCATTAAAAAGGGCAATATGTGGTTAGGAGACTTTCCAAAGTCTGTAAGAGTATCTAATTATGATAATGCATGGACAGGTTGCAAGTCATTGATTAGATAAACTTTAAATCAGTTTTTGATCAAACACAAAAACAAATATAATAAATTGAGATCAGATATATACCCAAAAAACAGATCCAATGCTTAGGGGTTGAAATGTGGTTTCAGAAGATATCTAATAAGCCATTAATTAGATAAGGAGTGGTTGATTCTATGTACATTGGAAGTTCACCTAAACATTGACATATGCCCTGCAATGAAGAAGAATTAATAATAAAGTACAGGTAGTCCTCACTTAGCAACTGCCTTGGATAGTGACCGTTCAGTTACGACAGTGCTGAAAAGGTAACTTTGCAACCAACGCCCACATTTACGACCTTTGTAGCATCTCTCTCTGTCATGTTTGCCATTACAGTCAATACGTGTTCTTCTGTGTAAAACTGCATCATCACCCTCATGTCATTTTTCAGTTAGTGACCACTTTGCTTAATGATTGAGTTGCCAGTCCCAATTGCAGTTGCTAAATGAGGATACATTTGGTAAACCATCATGATATGTAAGATACATGGGTTAGATTAGTGTTTTTTAAACTTTTTTTCTCTCAGGACCGCTTCTCACTTTTAGAATCTTTTGTTCGTATGGGCTATACTTATCTAAATTTATTATATTAAAAATTAAAATTGACACATTTACTGCCACTACCACTTATCACAATTGTTTGATGCGATTTTAATACTGTATCATTTTTCAACATAGGCTGGTAAATAATTTTGATTTTGTGGATCCCTGAGAGGATCTTGGGGTTCCCTCATAGCCCTAGGAACATATTTTAAGAAATACTGGGTTAAATAATTTTAACTGGTCCTCTAAGCTCGCAGAGAT